TAGCTACTTTCTATGCCCTAAATTATTTTTACCTGGCCCTCCCCAGTAATAAAGAATAGTACTGTCTTTAGAGGAAGACTTGCAAATGGCTCCCCCTTGTGGATTATTAATCCTCAAATAAAACAGTAGTTCAGTGTTTCCCAAACTTGACAATTTTAAGGCATGAGGACTTCAACTCCCAGAATTCCACAGCCAGCGTTGCTGGCTGTGGAATTCTGGGAGTTGAAGTCCACATGCCTTAAAATTGTCAAGTTTGGGAAACACTGGGACTAGTTGATACTTCTGATCTCTTGAATTGAGAAATTAAAAAGATTACAGTAATCCATTTAGTGACATGATTATCCCTTATCCAAACATTCATTTCACAGAATCAGTGCTATATTTTTGGCTCACAATTTTAGTGAAGTGGAGAAACTGCCATATACTCTGGATCCCTTGGGCACAGAATAGCCTGTCGTTGGTGGGAGAAAATGCTGTTTTGCCCAAAGCTGCTTCAGTAAAAACTGATTGGAGAACATTTCACATGCAGGCAGCTTTTACCAGCAATTTTTAAAGCATGAGCCTGCCATGTTGGGAACCAGACCATAACAAGGTGTAGGGGGCAACACTCATACAGTCTCTCAGTCAAAAAAAGCAGGTGGACCAATTTGGTGCTTTCTATCTAGTTTGGCTTTGTTCTCCATAATTGCCAGTTAAATGTCATTATGAGAGCTGAATCCCAACACGGCTGGAAGGAAATAGATCACAGAGAGTGGATTTGGGCGTTGCCAGAACTCCCACATTTTGTAAACTGGTCATAATTGATAGACTAATGGTACACGTGGTTTTCCTGTTCATCATGTTCCACAGTTAACATCAAATAATCAGCCAATAATATAGGCTTTAGTGATATTTATTTCAATATTGTAATAACACATCTTTGTTTCAAAGCAAACAGATAACAAGAGAATGTTTGTGAGGCAAACGGTCATCAACTTAGTATGTTTTATCCTAGCATTTCAAATAAACATCACTTAAAATAAATTATTCAAACTCAAACAATATTTTTTTATGCTTATTCTCTAAGTTCTGACAGGTTGCTACTAGATAGAGGTTTTTTGGTTTTGGTTTTATATTACAGTATAATTGCTTTTCTAGTGTTTATTCCAGAACTGCAAAAGAGCCCACATTTTTTTTTTTTTGTAATATGTTTTAAGAAACTAATGCATCTATTCACATTAATGGCAACTATGCCGATCTACTAACCTCAAACTGTCTTTACTTTCAATTCTTCCTTACTCATTTACAGCATTTGTATTCTTGTGCTCTGTAACAATGAAGCAAACCATCATTTGCAAGGAAGTAATCAATAATGCATTTCATGAGGTCAGCTCAGGAAGGACAGCATGTAAAGAAACTGAATCATTGCTTTCAAGGGGAAAAACCTCATCTATTAAGGATTCATTACTGCTTCATCAAGCTGGTTTTTAAATGAGAAAATACGCTGGTGGATTATATACGCAAATAAAATCTAATGATAAAATCATACAACTGGAAGGGACTATCTAATGTAGGTGCAACATGCATTCATATTGGAATTCAGATTCAGGTGCTGTCTAGTCCAGGGTTCCTCAAGCTTGGCAACTTTAAGACTCGTGGACTTCAACTCCCAGAATTATGTCACAGCCATCTCTTGGCCTCTTTTGTCTATGTTTTCTCTTCAGGAACTTGAAGAACTTTAGCTAAATAATAAAGGTAGGAAACAAGCAAGAAGAACTTTAGCTAAATAATAAAGATAGGAAACAAACAAACAATAGATGGATGAAAATGCCAAATCCAGTCTAAACATCTGGCTGACTGTGCGACCATTACAAATAAAGCAAAGATATGGTAGTAATGGACCCCTTGGAAGCAGTCCCAAAGTAACTGGAGTGCCACTTGAACACCATCAGCGCTGACAAAATCACCATCAGTCAATTGCAAAAAGCAGTTTTATTTGGAACAGCTTACATCCTGCGACAATACCTTTTATAGCATCAAACAACCTCTGCCTAGCCCAGGTCCTTAGAAAGGATTTGATAGGTGAATAAAAATGCTAAATCCAGTCTAAACATCTGGCTGATTTTGCAACCAAACATAAATATCCCTTCCTCATCATTCTTACCAATGTTCTTCTCAAAATCATTCTTCTAATGATTTCAATCTCTTTTTATTAAACTTACCTTCCAAGTCTCTATTTATCCTCGCTGCCCATCTTCACACTTGTTTTGTTTTTAGAAACTAGAAGTTAGAATAGAATAGAGCTGGAAGAGACTTTGGTGGTCTTCCAGTCCAGTCCCCTGCTCAAGCAAGAGACCCTATACCAGTCTCTTCTTAAAAGCCTCCAGTGATGAAGCAACCACAGTTTCTGAAGGCAAGCTATTCCACTGGTTAAATGTTCTCACTGTTAGGAAGTTTCTCCTTAATTCTAGGTTGCTTCTCTCCTTGATTAGTTTCCATCCATTGTTTCTTGTCCTGCCTTCAGGCGCTTTGGAAAATAAGTTGACTCCCTCTTCTTTGTGACAGCCCCTCAGATACTGGAATACTGCTATCATGTCACCCCTATTTCTTCTTTTCTCTAGACAAGCCAAACCCAAAACTTGCATTTTTGCCTGAATTATTAACATATGGTTCTCAAAATTGGGCACAAATATTCAAATGGTATCTGGCCAATGTAGAGCAGACTAGAACTGGGAAATGATACTTCTGTTGATGCAGGCTAATTTGTGTTTGTGTGCTTTGCAGCCACGTCATTCTGCTGGATCTCATGCAGCATGCAACCAACTATTACTTCAAAAATTTTTCACACAGGAACCAGGAACCCTTTGCTTCCTAAGTGCACAATTTGCCATTTATAAAGCAAATTTAATAATATTACATTTAGCCTTTCTAATTTACCAAGACCATTTTAAGTTTTTTGTCTGTCTTTTGGGCTATTAATGATTCTGTCTAATTTTGTATCATCTGCTACAGAAATGTGTACTCCTTTCAACACATCAGTCATTAGCATCAATCAACAATTTAACAACAATGATCAAGCTGAATCTATACAAGTAGACAGTTTTATTTTCTGGGAAAGGTGAACATGGGATGGGAAATGCAGATAAACAGACCAAGAGATATGTTACTGTAAATGCAAAACTACTAATTCTGAAAATTTATGGGGGAATTGCAGTTCTGATCCTGGCCTTTTGAAGTAAAAGGATTACCCTATCACTAGTATTAATAAGAAAAAAAGTGAAACTGGTGATAAGAGGGAACTTCTCTACCAAACAAAATGATGAAGCTGATGTCACTGCACTGTATTAGCAACTTCTAAAGATGGTAATATATTAACTGATTGCAGCAAAAAAATGTTGCCAGACCCTGGAGGGATGAAGAGAGTTTCATATTAAAAGACTCATGTGAAAGTAGCCTAAAAAGGCAGAAAGGAAGAAAAAAATACTATAAAATCAAATCTTCTTTCTATGAAATAGCAGTACAAATACAGGTTAAGGCAAACTTGAATTTTAGCCTTGGTAAGATAAAATGTGTCTAAAAGAAGCAAACATTTTAATTTTTACAGGAAGCTTTTGCTGCTGGGGTCTGCTGTAGAGAAGGGATCCAGGCACCGTCTTCCTGCTGAGGTCTCATGTTTACCTGATGTTATTTTTGACATTTTTCCAATCACCAAAAATTCATCAAGAAGGAAATTATAGAGTGTTTATTTAATCTATTTATACAGCCAGCCATCACAAACAATCCAGGAGGGTGTGCTGGAATAGCTGTAGAGTATTTGGTGATAAACAGCAATGGGGACTCTGCATTCCAGACTAATGGTTTGACATGCTCAGAAACAAGATTTATTGTGTATTCTGACTCTGAGTTAAAAACGCCTTCTTTTAAATCAAGTCAGATAGATAACTCAATAGAAATGATTTCATAACAAAAATATATTTCAATCAGAAAGATTACTTGCAATCATGCAGTGGTTGTTACTTCTGGAAAATACATCTTTTGTCCATTCTTATAGGTAAAAGGATGATGCTCTCTTCCATACCATCTTTTTAACAGCTCAGGCTCATCGGGTGACATCTAATGGCCCATGCTTCTTTCAGACAAAGACATTCCAATCTGGCTTGTGTCCAGGAAGTCTCCCAATGCCCTTTAGAGACTCCTCCCACTGACCCATTAACAAATCAACATTTAACCCAATAACTGTCAGATATTCTAACATACTGATACATGCTCTCTAGTTAGGGTTACATAGAGCTATACGGACCAGAATATTGTGTATGGGTTTGGTATTTCAAATTCTAAGCCTCCTTCCTACAGAGAAAATCACTCAATTACACGCATCTACACATGTGCACACCCACTCACATACCATCTATGTGCCCAGCAAATAATTGGGATAACAGAGTTAGTATTATACAGGGCTTTTTTTCTCATAGAATGCCCAGAACGGAATTCCAGCACCTTTTTTGGATGGAACCTTGTAGGGTAGGCAAGGCGGGTTATATGACATGTGTGAGTTCCGGCACCTTTTTTTTTTTTTTAAGAAAAAAAGCACTAGTATTATATAGATTTACATTGTCAATATATGAAGACTCGGTTACAGAGATGTTTCCTTGAGGTTAATCAGAAAATTAAACAAGTGAATGTGTGAAACAAGAAAAGCAAAAATTCAGAACAAGACAGCTAAGAAAAGACCCACTGAACATTAATACCCAATATAGAAGTATTAAATACTGTGATTTAAAACTTCCAGGAGACAAAACACCTAGAAAGTAAGCTCTCCCTAGTGCAGTTCATTTGTAATTTTCATTTGCTATGCTTTTAATGTACAGGTAGTCCTCAACGTATGACTGCAATTGAGTCCAACATTTTTGTTGCTAAGCAAGACATTTTTAAGTAATTTGCTCCATTTTACAACTTTTCTTGCCACAGTTGTTAAGTGAATCACTGAAGTTGTTAAATTAGCAACATGGTTGTTAAGTGAATCTGGCTTTCCCCATTGACCTTGCTTGTCAGAAGGTCACAGAAGGTGATCACATGACCGCAGGGCACTGCGGCCATTATAAATATGAGCCAGCTGCCAAGCACTTAAATTTTGATGACCATGGGGGATACTGCAATGGTTGCAAGTGTGAAAAACAGCCATAAGTCATGTCAACATCGTTGTAATTTTGAATGGTCACTGAATACTCTGCTGTAAGTCAAGGGCTATCTGTACCACAACCTACCCTTCCAGACTTTTTTGCAGCTACTTTCCATTTTCCATTCCAGAGTCCTGCCAGGCCAATGGTACAGTAAATCAGATTGTGCTGCTGCGATTTCCGCAAGCTACCGTAACTCAGAACATCAAACCACATTGCCAGATGCAAGCGAGGACAATAGAATAGACTTTCCCTATTCATGGGTGTCAAACTCGCCAGGTCATGTGACGTGGTGCGTCATATCACAACTCTTTTTGCATTGCTGGCCATGGGGTGGGTGTGGCTTCAGTATGATGAAACTTCCCTGCGGGCCGGCAGTTTGACACCCCTGCAATTGGTGCCTTCCAGAAATTCCTATCATACTGAACAATCTCCTATAATTCTGAGTGCTACAGTCCCAGCAAATTTAGAAGACAAACAGTTGGGGAAGGCTGCACTAGGAAGATACGGTATATTAGCCATGCAATAAGAACAAAACATAAAATTATGTGAGTTCCTCAAAGAAAAATATCTGAATTACATTCAACACAATTTTACTGTCAAAATATTGCTATATTACACGAAAAACATGAGAACACACAAACATCTTCCGCATGACTTTGAATTTTCTTTAGATCTTCTGTTTCTGACTCATTGCTCTTAAGTAACTGCTTTAAAAAAATCTGTATGACAATCACAGCTGCCAGTAGTGAGGGGGGAATACAAGATGCAAGACCACAATTGCAAAATGTACTTTTTATGACTTACCTATAAGTATTGTAGGTACCTACTTAATAAAGACATGTTCAGAGAAACGTGGCACTCTGTGGGGATCATACTTTACATTCTAACGGGTGGAAAAGTGATACTTATCTTGGCCTGTAATGAAATCAAATGACAAGGAAACAAAGATAGTCGAGGCAGAGGATAGTAGGAAAACAAATCTGGCAATATAAAACAATGGAAAAAGTACAGGAGCCATAGTACTGAGGCAGCAGCAATCCCAGGACAGTTGGGTGCATAGTTAAGGGATGCCCTGATCACACTTGTGGATGACCTGTGGCAGAGCTGGGATGGGGGGGCACAACAAGAATGATTTTTCTTGATCTCTTAGCAGTTTTTGATACTATAGGTCCGTGGTGGTGAACCTATGGCACGCATGCCACAGTGGGCACCTGCACTGTCACCCCAATTCTAGGCCTTCAGCTGGGTTTTATAAACCCTTTTCACTTTAGGCCTCTGCCACCATTGCAAAAAAAAAAAAAGGTTCAATCAATCAATTTCAACCTCTGCAATGTAAAATATAAATATACCAAAAACATTTTCAGTTTGAGGGTGGATACTGAGTAAATTGCATATTGCAGCCCTCTTTGATTCTGAGGTACTGCTGTGCAGGAATTCCCCCCCCCCCATGAAATCATTGCCCTGTAGTTACTTATTAATAATACTGTAATTGCCCAATGAGTTTAAAAGGCCATAAACCCTTCATGTTTGTGGCAGGAGAAAGTGATACAAGTACAGCTCTATAACTGATCAGGTAGAATGCTGCGAGCCACTTCAGTTTCTCTCTCTCTCTCTCTCTTTTTAATGAACCAGGTATGGTCATGCTTCTTTTTTTAAAAAAAAATGGGTTTGTGGGGCTACGTAGTTGGAAATCAGGCTAAAATGTATCTCCCCCCCCCCAATCTTCTCAACCAAGAAGAAACCATATATTTCTTGTCCAAATATTTTAACTTTTATGGGGAAGGACATAGGTGGTGGTGAAAAATGTTCACAACTTATTCTGTAGCAGTTTTGAAGACACTCTCAGTAATATTATAATTTCACCAGATTAGGTCTAGAATTTAAGTGGGTGGAAACCTTAGTTTACAGATACCTAGAAGTCTGGAAAAATTGTATATCTTCAGGATAATAGACTGGGATGTGTCATTTGATAAGTAGAACAAGCCTATGGAGTGGGCTAAAGGGAAAAATAACTACTGCAGATTGGTCCCTGATCTACTTAGCGAAGGGCCTATGTGGTGAAAGTAATAGATACTGCTGTAAGCTCCAGTGCTTCTTTATCACTCACTATTCAAGAAGAAAGCAAATTGGCAACTATGGCCACTCTGAGCTTCAGAGAGAATGGCATTGTGGATTCAAGCATAAGGACCAGTTAAAAATGCATGTTGACTTATCAGTGAGCTAGAAAGAAAAATGACACGATGCAGTCGGCAGAAATGACAACGCTGACTGTTTTAATTAAAAAGAAGAACCTATCTAGATTTGTTTCTATTTGGAAACCGCTTCTGGACTTTTTGCTCAAAATTGAACAAACTTTGATTTTAGGATTTGATGATTAGAATGACTTTGTTATAGAAATGGATTGAAACGTTTAGAAATATAAAGCAAAAGGTTGTGGTATTTTATTTTATTTTTTTGTATTTTCCTATAGTGAACAAAGTCTGAAGTCATTCTTTCTTTCTCTAACTTGGTTTCTTTTTATATTTTTATCTTGTAATAAACTTTAATAAAACTTTTTTTTAAAAAAAATCTTTTTTTAAAACGTTTTATTATACTGGTAACATTGCCAGTATAATTGCATTATAATCCTTTGCCTGATGTTCTGTAGATCTGCTGAATTGCAACTTTTTTCATTCCCTCTAGCATGTCCATACCCAATCAACTGATAGAACAAAAGAAGCAGAATGCATAGAAAATCAAATGTGAATGTAATAAAGATCATAATAAAAAGAGAACATACAAGTAATCGCATTGAAGTGTTGATTCCTGGGTGTCCTCCTGAGATCACATCTCAAACATATTGTCTATTCTTCGACCAAAAAGTTCTAGAAGTCTGGTTCACAATTACCAGGGCTGGACAGAAGATCAATCCCAAGCATAAATACCAAGCCACGCCTTTGACCTGGGCCTGAAACCAGTCAGAACAAATGCCCAGTACTACAGTGAAAGTGGCCAGCAAGTAAACTATCAATCCGTACACAACATGGTACCTCCAGAGCTGAGCTACTAATGAAATCCTTAGCAGCTGTGGAAAGAGTAGGCACAATCCACACAGGACTTGCCCATAGATGGCCAATATTGTCAGAAGACCCAGGATGCTGTGCCAGGAGATGAAGTGTGGGAGTTCGCTCCGGTTCTTGCTGGAGATAATGAAGACCAAGCCCAAGGTGGCAGCCAGGAGGCCCAGCACTTGCGCAATCCAATGCAGCTGCACTTTTACTTTATGGGAGCAGAAGAAAAGAGAGCCCTCTGGAGCAAAGATCAGGATGGCTTCCGTCAGACAGAGGCAGAACTGAGAACACAGGAACCCATTAATAACAAGGCTATTCCTACTTAAAAGTAACAAGTGAGGTTAACAAGGCTATTCCTACTTAAAAGTAACAAGTGAGGTCAAATATATATATATATATATATATATGTAGGTCTTTGGTTGTTCGGGTTTTCTCCCGCGTAAAATTGGAAGTGTCTTGGCGACGTTTCGACGAAGTCCCATTCGTCATCTTCAGGCTGGTGTTGCTGCTCGAAGCATGAAGCTGAAAACACCAGCCTGAAGATGACGAATGGGACTTCGTCGAAACGTCGCCAAGACACTTCCAATTTTACGCGGGAGAAAACCCGAACAACCAAAGACCTACATACAAACACCCGCGAAAACCTCAGAAAACAATATATATATATATATATATATATATATATATATACTATATATATATATATATATATAGTTACATTACATACATACATATATGTATATATATATATATATAGTTACATACATACATATATGTATATATATATATATATAGTTACATACATACATACATACATATATGTATATATATATATATATATATATATATATATGAATAAAAGAATAAAATACGATCACTGGGAGGGTTAAAATAAGAATACTTTACTAAAAATATACTTATACTAAAAAGTTGCCAAGCTTTCGCTGGGGGAACTCCCCAGCATCATCAGGGCTAAAAGGCCCTTACAATAAAGGTGGTTTAAGTAGGTTCAAGTAACGTTTGCGCACGGCTCCTAGACCGTGTTACTGGCCCTGATTGGCCAGCTGATAACCAAGATGTGTCTATAACGTTATGTTCTTTTCTTTGGATGCCCTTCCCTATTCCTTGACTATTGGTCTTTGGAGGCGTTAGTAACCTTGCATCCCCTCCTCTTCCGATAATACCAACTCCTGCCGTATCGGGGGGAGGATTCAATCTGATGTTTTCTTGTGTCTTGTGATGGGGATAGGGTTCCACTAACTGTGGGTTAATATCCCTTCCCAATTGTATACCTCTCTCCTCCTTTGTCGTGTCAACAGCTCTTATCTGAGTATGGTATGCCTCAGCATAAAGACATGATTGCTGAAAACACCAGCCTGAAGATGACGAATGGGACTTCATCAAAACGTCGCCAACATATATATATATAGTTTAAGTAGTTTATTTTATACCCTACACTTTTATTCCATCTGCAGTCTTTGGGATAGATAATAATTGTCCCCAAAGGTTCAGCTCCTAGTCCCCACACAGAGATAATGGACATGTCACATTCAGCCTAACCTTTCCTGGTGCAGGTTTTCAATATGCAGTAAATGATAAGGTGGTCTATAATAGAAAAAACAGTTAAAAACAGTCAACTAATCTGAAGTGACACAAGAGAAAAAAAAGTACTATTCACGTGAAGAATAAGAGTGAGTTTCCCTCAAGTCAAGCTCAACTCTTGGTGATTTCATAGACATGGTTATGCAGTTTTCTGGGCACTTGTATCCAATGGTTTGCTTTTTTAAAAGATTCTTTTTTAAATCTTGTTTATATCGATTTTATAAATAATTCAAGGTGGCAAACTTACTAATACTCCTTCCTCCTCCTATTTTCCTTACATCCACAACTCTGTGAGGTGAGCTAGACTGAGAGACAGTGACTGGCCCAAAGTCACCCAACCTAAGGCAAAATGAGAACTCAGTTTCCTGGTTTCTAGCTTGGTACTATCATACCAAACTTTTTTTTCTGATTTCTTAAAAAACTTTCTAACCTAGTCTACAGTGCTGGGATTTCCTGGTCATCTCTTATACAAGCACTAATCAGTCTCTCCTTGTTTATTGTCAGACAAGGATTGCTGCCTAGCTGGGCCCTGGCTGTGTAGACTGGGGATGGTACTGAGTAAACTCATTTAAGTTTCATTAATGAGTATCTACAAAAACTGGAGAGGATGGAATAAAGGCTGACCTTGGAAGGGTTCCTTCTCTGTTGTTCTATGCTGTCACAGCCTCTTGGAAAGCCTTCCCAACATGCAAGCAGAAGCAAGAAAAAGTGGGAACATCACCTTCCCTTTCTCTTTCTCCACAGGGGACCTGCAGTTTGCACCTTAATCAGACATGCGCTGTACAGGTAGTCTTCGACTTACAACAGTTCGTTTAGTGACCGTTACAAGATACAACAGCACTGGGAAAAGTGACTTATGACCGTTTTTTCACAGTTATGACCATTTCAACATCCCCCATGGTCACATGATCAAAATTCAGATGCTTGGCAGCTGGTTCATACTTATGACACTTGTGGTGTCTTGGGGGATCACGTGATCACCTTTTGTGACCTTCTGACAAGCAAAATGAATGGGGAAGCCCGGTTCACTTAACAACCCTGTTACTAACTTAACAACTGCAGTGGTTCACTTAACAACTCTGGCAAGAAAGGTCATAAAATGAGGAAAACTCACTTAACAACTGTCTCAATTAGCAACAGAAATGTTGGGCTCAATTGTGGTTGTAAATAAAGGACTACCTGTATTTTGGACTTCAAAGGTAACATTTGGGCTTTGAAAAGAGTGCTGGGCAAAAGCCAGGCAGAGCCAGGAACCCTACCAACTATATTTGATTTAATTTTAACTACTTAGAATTAACACAAATATTCCCCATATGTTTAACGGGGAGGGGGGTATAATCTCTAGGGAGAGGACATACATAATTTAAAATGCTGCATTTTAAAGAGAAAGGATTTGAAGTGATAAAAAGAAACGGCAAAGCTTTCTTTACAAAACATTTACCATTCTGCTTCAGCAGCTAATTGTTCAGTTTTTATAGGACAGAAAATGTTTTAAGATTCTTCAGACAAACCACACCCATTATGACTGTACTGTTCTTGTTGGATGGTTCAAATATTATTCAGCAGGTGCCTAGGATACAATACTTGCCCGAATGAAAACACACATGTCTAGAGAGGTGTGCGTGTTGAATGTGTACTGTCCTCTGCAAAAGAAGGGCAAAAGGATTTTCTGCCTCTCTAAAAGGCAACCTGTATACAGCCTTATTATTTGTCCTTATTTTCTCATAAATAAAGCCTAGGAAAAATGAACAATCCTGGGATATACTGAATAAGAAAAGAACAACTTACTGCAATCGACATGAACACTGGGTGCCAGGAAAATAAACCTGGAAGGAAGAGAAAAAAGGAAGACTATTCAGCTTTGGCAAACCAATCTAAAAATAAACCTGACTGCACCAGCCAATTTGATCCCTGGAAACCGTAACAGAGGAAATCTAATCTTATGCGTTTGTATGTTGCTGTTTCTGATGTTTTTATACTTGGTTTTGTTATCTGGTTTTTATGATTTATTTATGCTTGCCCCTCTCAGTCATGTGCTAAGTGGGGCAGATATAAAATCAAATCAAATCAATAAATGTATTATATAAAGTTGTGACTGCAGTCAAACAAGTGAGAGACATCTTTGTATCTTAGCTATGGAAGATTCTGGAGAACAGCCTATGCCAGGGGTAGGCAACCTTGGCGCTTTTATGACTCATGGACTTCAACTCCCAGAATTCCTGAGCCAGCATAGGAGTTGAAGTCCATGAGTCATAAAAGCGCCAAGGTTGCCTACCCCTGGCCTATGCATATGCAGCCAACAGTTGCCAGTCCTAAAATGATGCAAGGAAATATGCCATGGTTTAGTTACAATTCTCAGCCTGATTTCTCTGGCTTTCTCAAAATGGTCTATATGAAAACTATATGTAATTTTTTTTCCCAGTTATAACATTTACAACATTGTCTTGCAGTGTTTCAAACATTTTAGCAAGGACAGAGAGCATGGTAGGCTAAACTGAAGGATCTAAAATGCTTGCGGAGAATCAAAGAATCCAAGGATAATGCTGCATTTCCACTGCCTAAAAAGATAATCCATTCCTCTCTAAATACTCCTTTTTTTAGCCTTTTAGCAAACCCTGCCTATGACATTTTCAAGATTTGCTCCACAAATATTTTATATATTTATTTTTAATAAAGGGAACAGAATTTGGAGCACTAAAGCTAAAAATGAAACCATATTTCACATAGCATGGAGCTGTTAGCCCCCAAATCCCTGTTTTTCTTTCATACAAATCTCTTAGATGTAGCAACCTTTAGTATATACATCCTCATATTCAACATCTGGACACAGCGTATTTCACACTGTTCCTCTGAAACAAGAGAAAAAAAGATGACTGTTTTTAGGTTTTATTGCAGTTTTAATATTTTCCCCACAATTTCTGCAGGTTCTCTAAATTTATTAATTCTCCACCCAGATGCTTTTCCTACTGCTAAGTTAAAGTGCTATTCACCCATTCTTTAGGCAACAGAAAACCAGCAAGAAATGTTCCACCTTCATTGCCAATCCCTATCCCTGCCTCTATTGTGTCTCCCAAATGAGCTCTCCTGATTTTGCATGCTCAGTGCATGGTATGCAAAGCAATTACTTCAATCGTCTAGCTTTGCTATCCTCCCTCTTTTGCACGTCAATAGCTGGGGGCAAAAACATCTGCCAATCAAGCCACTGCATCAGCAATAGCATAAATAGAGCAGTAGGATTATGTATGTCAACTCTATATTGTTTCTTGACCATCCCATCCTACCCCCACTTACACCCAATTCTAAATTAGGCAACAATTGGTTCCGACAATAATTTGCAAATGCAACCCATATTTTGTGCATGCTGATGTACAAGTGGCACACCTGGTACATTTTTCCAAATATACATACCTGCAAATACTATTGGTTATCACAATCCCCAGGCCTCATATTTTGCTAAAGCTGTAAGCAGCTTTAAAGTGCAGGGCCATTTTAATATGTCTAGCATTAGCTACATGTTATGTACTATTTTTATATTTGGGGAAGAAAGTACTGGATGTATTTGGGACCCAGAGAGTCCCTCTCTTCTGAATTTCCAACACTGCCTCTGATTATGCAGTCAGCCAATTGTTCTAAACCAGGGGTCCCCAACCCACGGGCTGGGGACCAGTACCAGGCCACGGCATGCCAGCAACCGGGCCGCACAAACAAGCAAAGCCCCATCCACGAGATGCAGGCAGCACACACAAAACCACACACCCTCTGGTCCGTAGAAAACCTCTCTTCACGGAACCGGTCCCTGGTGCCCAAAAGGTTGGGGACTCTCTGTTCTAAACTTTTACTTTTATTTTATTTATTTGGCAAGTGTGGTTAGACACACAAATAACTTCTGTCTGGGTACAGAAGCACTAGGTGTACTTGCAACACAACTGAATAAAATAATACTAAAGTGTACAACCAATAAAAGGGAGAAGTAAAAAGTAATAAACGGGATAAATAATAATACTGCAGCCACACCCTAAGGGTTAATATACATATACATTAGACAAAAAAAAAAAACCTTAGGACATTAAATTATACTACACATCAGATGTGTGAATCCAGGCAAGTGCTGTCCAGTTGCCCATCATTATCCTTTTGCTGTTGGGCCAACCAGGCCAAAGTGCTACACATTGTTGTCTATAACTAAGAAATATGAAGGAATGTGAACAAAGCACAGCACAAGAAAAGAGCAAAAAGTGGCCAAAGCATTTTCCATTTAACATGGGGGCATCCTTATTTCAGTATTTCAGCCTTGTGCTAAACTAGTAACAGAATCAAAGCATTTACTATTGATTGAGCTGTCTAGAGTTACTGCATAGTTCTGACAGCTCTCTAGCCCTGCTTTTTAGGATGGTAACAATAAAATAGCTGTCTTTGGTAAAGCACAGTATTTCTCAAACTTGGCAACTTAAAGATATGTGGACTTCAGTTCCCAGAATTCCACAGCCAGCATAATATAGAAGAAAGGCCCTGCTCATTCTCAAAAGCCACTAACCCTACTTGCTACTGACATGGTTTTGCCTTCAATGAAATAGCAAAGCATTACTGTGCAGATGTTACCGATTGTTACTGATGCTGTCAGCTTCTGAGGAAAAACCTATTGTCTCACTCAAGGATTAGGGATAAGATGAAGGCAATGGCATGGAATCAGGTCAATTTCTCTCCCCCCCCCCCGCCTCCCACACAAATAATTTTGCCATGGTATTTTGTACCATGTTTAGGTACAAGAGAGGAAATCTGTCCACACACAGACACTTCCTTCATCTTTTTGTCACATGTAAGACTCTGACACCTCTCTTCATCATTTAAAAGCCTTATTATAGCTTGAAGCATAGCAAGCAAGCAGAATTGTAAAGGAGTCTTGTTACCCAAATCAGCCTGGGGCATCCATGGGTGGAGGGGCAGGGGGAGGGCCAAAAGGTCAAGATAGCAACTGGGACTATGTGATCAAAGCCCCACTCCTCTTTTACGTGTGAGACAGCCTCCCCGTGCTTGGGTGCTATGGAAAGGGTGATTTATTGTCCACCCTTCAAGGTAAACCAGACTAAGAAACCCAAGCTATGAATGTTAATACATCTTTTATAAGTTTATACTAACCGAATCTAGTAAATCAAATGTGCCTCTCTCTCCTTCCCTTTATCTGCAAAACAACTAGGGAGGGTCAAGCCTGAGATGCTTTCTCAAATTGCATTTCTGCTTCAGATTCAAGTTTATTTTGTCTGACTGATGTCTTGGTTGTGGCTCTTCCTCCGGGTTTTCAAGCTTATTTTTACAGCCCATAACATTTATGCACACTTCTCTTGGTCTTCCTGAAGCCCTCTAGAAATATGGTTGCCCCAGCTTCTGAAGCTGTGCTGCACAGGTCTGATGTGTCTCCCATGGTACATTTGCCATATGACACTTCAGCCTTGACGACTACTGAACATATTTGATACTCTTGAGCCAAAAGGCAGGAAGCTCTTGACACCTATTCAGTAGGCTTCACCTGGAAAAGGAAAGGTGAGAAAGCAGCTCTTTAGGCAGCCTCCAAACTTACTTCTTCTTCTCTTTTTATCTCCATCTTACACTGGTGGGCAACTGAAGTATGAGAGAATTTTGGGCGGAATTGAATAACACGGATTTCTTGCTACCAATGAATGACTTTAAAAGTCAGTGGTCTGGGATGTATTCCTTCATTGGGCTCTAGTGGCCAACTGTAGTAGGGCAAGCCCCAAACCTTGCTTCAAAACGATTCATTGCTCACCCCAATTTGTCTGGCAAAGATCAATAACCATGGCTTTTGAGGTAGAACAAGGAAAGAGGGGTGTCGGCTGCCTTCACAATAGCCAGGGACAAGTTAATGTCAGACATTCAATATTCTTTAACATATACAACTTAGTTATTCTTCATGCCAGAGAAAGCAGAGTATGAGAATAAGCAAAAAAAAAAAAAAAAATGTGCAGACCTCCAAGTCCCCTCTCCTTGTCAAGCTGGTTTCACCCATCTCCATTCATCATTTAGGCGTGTGCACAGTCACACCTTCAAGTCAGTACTGACTCCTGGCTACTGCCTGGACAAGTCCCAGCAGGTTTCTTGACAAGATTTCACAGAGGGCTAGCGATTGCCTACTTTCCTAGGGCTGAGACAGAATTACTAGTCCAAGGTCACCTAGCTGGCTTTGTGCCTAAAATGGGCCTAGAACTCACAGTCTCCAGGTTTCTAAACTGGTGCCTTAATCACTACACCAGCTTCGTTTTTAATCTTTTTAAGTCAATCTACCTCTCACTGAAACATCAAGGATCCACTATCTTGGGTCAAGATCACAGCAGCTACAAGATTTGGGTGATTTTTCTTTTTGTAGGGCTAAGAATTCCAGAAATTGAAGAGATCTTCTGATGTTACCTTTACCAAAATGCCCCTTTCATAACAATATATTTTCAATTTGTGCAGGGAATTGCCGGTGGGGGGGAAGAGGGAAGGAAGGTAAGGGAGTACAGCTCTGTGCCAAATCCTCTACCAACTGAAAAAGCAGGACTTTTCAGACAAAACACAAAATTGCAGGCAAATAGAATGCCTAGGCCAGGGGTAGGCAACCTTGGCTCTTTTATGACTCGTGGATTTCCACTCCCAGAGTCATAAAAGAGCCAAGGTTGCCTACCCCTGGCCTAGGTTCAAGGCCGGAGGCATTTCACTAAATGCCTGTCCCAGGTTCCTGACTTCCAGTGAATACATTCCAGAGCCACTAGACACATTTAATCTTATGGGTTTTCTATGAAGCATCGATTCTTCAAATTTTCTCTTTTGGGGGGCAACTTCTAAGTCTACTAACATTTCTAGGCTATACAACAGTGCTCAGCGATTTTTGATTCCAGTGGCTGAAGAAGGAGGAGGGATCAGAAGACCGCAAGAGGTAGAAAAACAAATCAAAGGAATCTGTCTGTTTATTTCACACATCTCGTTCAATCCAAGATTTTTCTTCTTCTTCTGTAGTAGGGAGAGAGAAGCCTGCAAGAGCCTTGAACTGTACTTAATGCAGTACGTTTATTCTTAATGTACTTAATAAAGTATAAATGTACTGCATTAAGTACATTTCAAAGCTCATACCGCTGTGTTTCCACTCTTAAAATGGTAGTTAAATCATACCAATTTTTGGTAGTTAAATTGTAGACATTAAGTTGCAACAACCACTGGAGAGGGCCATGAATCTGTCAGCTGGAAAAAAAAGAGATTTTGGACGATGTAGCATTGTCGTATGGATCGCTCCATAACAACAAAACAATTTATTATGATCACTTTAACAAAAATCAAATTTAGGAGAACTGAATCAGTCTACTCTAGAAGGAAGATACAGCAATTCAGAAATATAGAGAGGAATTTTGCATACTGAAATATTGTATCATTTGCTCCTCAACAAATACAATGTACTAACTCAGCTGTTAGCCAAATCTTTGGAGCAAATTTTAGTTCTTTTGTACAGGTGTATTGAAATACATGGAGGAATACTCCACATAAAACTTAGAAATTAAACTTAGTAGAAAATTCATAGACTGCATGACAGAGCAGAGGCAAGGGAACAACTGAGCTTTCCACAATATGGTTCAGTATTTGAAATAATCAAATGAATCAATATTTTTCATTCAACAAAATTAGAATAGCAAAATCCTATGGTAGTATTCTGAGATTTCCCATGCCTTTTCTTTTATTGGGCTGCTGCCTTTAATGGGATTTCACAAAAAGAAACATTCTGCTGTGCTACTTCTATATCGCATCTTCCCCCTCCCACCCCAAAATCTTAAAACAGGCTCTGAAATACAATAAGCATACCAGCCCTGTTGATTTCAGCAGAAATACATTAAGCAGGTTAGACCCAATGGTCCAAATCTGTTCCATTTAAAAGTGCTCAACTCTGCTGAATCACGCCTAGTTATAGCAAATATAAGATAGCTTTCATATACCAATGCCTCTACACATAAAAGAAACAAAAACAATCCAGCGTTGTAGTGTCCATTGTATGAAATTCACTGGTGCTGTTGGATTCTGAAATAAGAAACATCTCTTATATGCCAGAGACCTGTCAAGTTTTAAAATAAGGCAGTCATCAAACCCTGTTGTCCAAAATCAGCCAAAGTTGACTACATGGTACCACCTATAATAAGCTGGCCATGAAGGAACAAGCATTATATGGCCTTATAAGTCAGTTTACACCTAATTCCCACATACAACATTCATTTAGGCTCTATACTTTATTTCTTAGCACATGTATCTAGCTTGTCATGAGAGACACATGCATATCACATGGGCAAACCAGTGTAGCTTGCACTTTACCTGGAGCTTTTCACCTAGAAAGTTATGACAATTGAAGTAGTCCAAGCTGTCATTAGGTAACTTTGATGTATATATCTATTCTCATATTGCATGTTCCAAACACAGGTTTAATAGTTCTTTAAATCACTTATACAGCACAAAAACGTATGGTTCCAATCTGGAGAAAGTTAAAAGTTTGGTTCAGATGAAGTAATTATGCAATACTTGGAACATGTATACCTTTGTTTTGGATAAATTGCCACAAATGAGAGTTGCAGCCACACAAGACACTAAATTACAAACCAGTAACTTGTACAGTATCATTAACCTATTAACATCTTTGTTCTTTACTTTCTTGCTTTGGGTGAACTTCTTGAATGATCCTTTTTTTGTGTGTGCCAGCTCTCACTCTCTTGGAGTAGTAAGTAATCTAAATGGTCAACCATCCATTAAATTCAACCTGATTCTATCTTGCCTTTCAATGCTCATAATTCCCAAACATCATCTAGCTGTCACCAAAGCACCATATGATTCCATTACTATGAGACAAGTAGGCACTCAAACTCATTTAATTGGAATAGTTGTCCTGCAACTTTCCCTCCATGTCATAATACTTAGCTAATTGTAACAGTATCTAGCAATCATAGGAATAGTCTCACTTCTCGTTTCCCTAGTTCAGAGTCCAAGACATTTCAAAGCATCAGTGTTAACCTGTAGTTGAAAAAATATTGTACAGTACCATACGTCTAGGTAATTAACTAAAAAATGAAAGTATATTTAACCAGTATTTCCCCCTAATGTATATTGTGGAACTGTACAGTCATCAGATATCTTTTTACCTTGTTTGCACATGTCCAAGATTGTTTCATTAGCATTTCTCTTATCTTTATGTTAAAATACCAATATCCTACAAATGTTTAAAAAGGCTTCCTTCACCATCTTTATGTACAGTGGGGCAAGAGAAGAAAAATTTTCCTAAGTTAAGCGGTAGAAAATTCTCTCTCTGCTCATCAGCTATTTTTATACACTGTAGTGTAATATATTCCACTCTTTCTCACCAAAGAATAAAGCAAAAAAAAAAAAAAAAAGAACTAAAAACCAAAAGCCAACACCTGGAGAAGAAAAAAAAAAATCATGAACATGCAGCGATGTTCGCAAAAAAGCTTCTTGCTTCGGTTATGGGACTGTAGACCGATTTTCACAGGTTTTCTCCATGGTTAAAAGCTTCCTAGCTACCGTAACAAACGCTTTACCCTTTGTAACTCTCCCCCACTGCTTTGGGGACATTTTTTCCCCCTAATTTCTGGCTCGTGCCACCGATGGGAGGCGATCGGACAGCCTGATATTTGCTGCTTAAGGCAATTCTTAAGCTCATATGTGAACAAATAAAAAGTTGAGGACAAGTCATTCAACCACGATATTAGTTGGGCTCTCCCGCTGCCGCATCGTCAGCTGCTGAACCAATTGCCCCAGGAGCGACCCAAGCACGGAGAGGCTACCCCAGGACAACTCAGAGGCTTCCCATGAAAGAAGAGGCTTTTGGGGGAAAGGGACGATCTGCCGCTTCAGGGAAAGAGTCGCCAGCGAGGATTATCCTGTGCTGGGAGTAACCGGAAGCAGAGGGGTCACTCACTAGTGCCAGGCCTGGAGAGCAGCAGCAGAAAGATGGCCATCCCCCACGCCGCCGGGTGGGCCAGGGCCCCGCAGCCGCGCCGCAGCCAAACATACACGCGGCAGCCCGCGGGGGCGTCCGACATGACGAAACCGTCTTTCCCCCCGCCTTCTCCTCCGGCTTTTATTCTAAGGAAGGGAAAGGTTGGGTGTGGTTTGCCGCCGGCTGCCACGCACAAAGCACCTGTTGGGAGGGACGTAGCCCGGGAGAAAAGGCGAGGAAGGCTTCCCGGGCGAGGGAACGTGGGAGACGTTGCTGGTCGGCTTTCGTTCAATCCCGCTTCCCCAGTCTCTTCTTACGTGACGGCCAACACAGCTTCTTGCCGCCTTTTTGAGGATTCACGTGGTTTGTTTGGAAATCGCCAGGCCCGAGTAATCTTTCGGCCGTAACGTGTGGAGAAATGATCGAGAACGAGGGAGTTTGAACGCAGTGCCCGCTACCGCTTCACTCAAGCCACGTTCTCAGGACCCACTTGCCCATAGTTAAGCATAATTACTGAGATCGGCATTCTCACATTACATGTCATGGGCTAAAATAGAATGAGTTGGTTTGGGTTACCGGATGTTTAAAATACATTTAAGAGGGCAATGTGTCAATCAGATGAGTCGTAAACCTTCTATAGCCGCAATGAGATTCCATGAACCCAACCTACTATGGCTTGGAGTTAGAGTGACCATCATTCCCTCTTTAATATTCTATAACATCTCTCTTCAAGCTACACTTTTTAAGGAAGATGTTGCCGATTCCAAAAATTGGGATTATTCTGGAGTTTTCTTACCTGATACTTCTAAACATCAGTTTCATAATTTTCCAGGGTATGAGGTCAAACTACCCTGGGTACGTCCAGTGTGTATCTATATTTTCTTACACACCAGCAGGAGCACATGTATCTTCTCTTCCCTCAACTTCATGATATGGATGAACCAACTACATCAGTGGTTCTCAACCTTTTAAATGCCGCAACCCCCAACCAGTCATAAGTAGAGGACTACTCAACCGGTCGTAAGTAGAGGACTACTCAACTGGTGCAGCACCGTTTGCAGAATGGGACTTTTGGCGGGCTCAGCAGGGCAGAGACAGCCTGGACAATTCCTATTGGCTTTTGAAAGCCAATAGAATTAGACTCTATTCAAGAGAGTCTATTCTAATTGGCTTTCAAAAGCCAATAGAATAAAAGGGAGTAGCACAGCTAAGGAAAAGGGGGAAAAAATGGCGGACTGCATTGTTTGGTGACCCCCATGAAATGGTCGTTCGACCCCAAATGGGGTCCCGACCCACAGGTTGAGAACCACTGAACTATAGATGGAAAGCAACCATCTATATTCTTCCTGCTGTTTTGAAAACACTAGGTCAGAGGTCCCCAACCCCCAGTCTGTAGACCAGTACTCGGCCGCGTCATGCCAGCAAGCAGGCCACACAAACAAGCAAAGGCCCATCTGTAGGATGCAGGCAGCACACAAAGTCACAGACCCTTCGGTCCGTGGAAAAACCTTTCTCCATGGAACTGGCCCCTGGTGCCCAAAAGTTTGGGAACCTCTGCACTAGGTCACTTTTCTGTGCCTGAGAAATAGTGAAACAGGGGTATAGATTTGTCTGAAAAGATCAGTTCTGCCATTACAAATGACCAAGTGAGACTTATCTAACTTTGTACTCCAAAATTCAGTGAAACAAGGCAGAAGCCACATTACCAGTTAAATGGCCAGTTGTATATAGCACTGCATTGTAAGTGTGTATACTCAGTGTTTCTGGGTTCTCCTCCTTCAAGTTACATTTCCAATACTACCTGGCACCTTTGTCAACTTCGGAAAATTGAGGTGTTTCTTGCTTTTGAAATTTAGCATCTCTGTTCACCCATCTGTCTCTACAAATGCCAGTTACTTCATCTCTTAATCAGAGATGTTTGCTGTCATTTAAGCTGTCTTCAGTATCTCGAACTTTAAGCAGCAAAGGAGTGCTCTTTTACCCTGGGTTTCTCAGGTACAAACCCCTGATTAGTTAAGGTTCAATAAGATATCGATTCCTCAAATTCTTACATATGTTTTCTGCAGCTCAAGAATTGGACTTACTATAGAATAAAAAATTTCTCATTGCTGGGCTAAGCCATTGCCACAGGAAAATCCACGTAATGTTTTGGCCCAGCCCTCTTGTTGCTAAGCTAAAGGTATGCATAAGAGAAGTATTCATTTTCCTTTAGCAAATAATGTGCATTACTCTAGAGCAGGGGTGGGGAACCTTGGCTCTTTTATGACTTGTGGACTTCAATTCCCAGAATTCCTGAGCCAGCAAGTCCACAAGTCATAAAAGAGCCAAGGTTCCCCACCCTTGCTCTAGAGCAGGGCTTTTCAAAACCAGTGGTATGGGTACCACCTGTGGTACATTGGCACCTGGTAGGTGGTACGTGAGCATCCTAGAAAAGTAGTGGGGAGGGGACCGAGCTGAACTGGTGGCAGCACCACATTGGCCTGAACGAGAGACGGCTGGAGCTGCAGGGCTGTCAGGGCTCAGCAGAAGCACCAGGATCAGTGCCACTTTCCAGCTGATCGGCACTTCTTCAGGACTGTCAGAGCTCAGTGGAAGCGCCAGGATCAGCGCCAGGCTTCAGCTGGAGCTCGGCGCTGATCCTGGTGCTTCTGCTGAGCCCTGAAGAAGCAGCAATCAGCTGGAATGTTGCCTTATCTCCAGGGTCTTGTGATTTACATTCAAATGCTTGTCATCTGATTCATATTTATGAAAGTCAGTGTCCCAGGGTCATGTGAAGTGACCAAAACCTGCTGCAACCACCCATCAGACGGGGGGAATAAAAACCACACCCACCCCACCCCACCCCCTCTGCCAATCCTCAACAGAAATGCTCACAACAATGGAAACCTCAGACAGGAGGAAGAGCGCCGCCAGGTGGGCAGGCAGGTGTCCTGCTCGGCTGTGGCTTGGAGGGCACTTTTTTCAGTGCCATTGTAACTTCGAATAGTCACTAAGCGAACTGTTGTAAGTCGAGGACTACTGTACTTTCACTTTTTTCCTTTTTTTTTTTGGTCATCAAGTTTTTGACACCTTGCTAGGTGACTGGTGGTACTCAGATGTTGCCATATGCTAAAAGTGGTACAATGGGTGAAAAGGTTGAAAAGCCCTGCTCTAGAGGCATCCAGAGCCACTGAATCCTCTATATCAGTGCTTCTCAACGTTTGTGTGACGGTGACCTCCGTCACACAAACGTTCTGCGCATGCGCGGCGGCGCGTGCATGGGGGCGGGGCCCCATGCGTGACGTGCATGTGCGACGCCCCCCATGCACGACGCGCGTGCACGGCGGCGTCCCCCATGCACGGCACGCATGCGTGGCGGCGCCCCCATGCACGGCACGCGTGCACGGTGCCGCCCCCATGCGCGGCGCGCGTGCACAGCGCCGCGAAAAATGGCGGATCGCCACCTTTGGCGACCCCCGAAAAATGGTCGATCTACCCCAAATGGGGTCGCGACCCATAGGTTGAGAACCGCTGCTCTATATTTTTCAAACCAACTTCCTTCCAGATATGCTGAACCACAACCTCTATGGTGCTGGCTAAATTTATTGCTAAAGTTCGATAAAGGGGGAAACCTGGAGTATAAAAGTAGACTGACTAACAGAATTGTAAGTTAAGTGCCATAGAAAAACACTAGAGCAAACATTTGGCTTAATTTGTATGAAAACAATTCTTATGCATTTACGTACTTGGTGGGGAAATAAACAATTTCTATGGCTATTACCTGAAGTGTGCACGCTCATCCCTGCTCTCCAGCTCCCGGTTTCATTTTCATCTTCAAGACTTAAGCCAATAGCCAATAGCCAAGACTTAACATTAGAGAAGGAGCAAAGGCAACCCTGCCTTTTTCTTATCTAAAATACTTTTGCTTTCATACCAAGAATAGGGATGAAAAGTGTGCTTTCAGTCATTACTGCACTGATACAGCAATCAGATATACGCTATGCTAGAAACATGGTTTTTGTTCTGCTTTAAAAGCAAATAGTACTTAGAGCCAAAGAGAGAAGGAGGCTGGGTCAAGATACAATTTGAAGCAGAGAGAGAAAAGGGTGATGAAAGTACATCAAGGAAATGGGCATTTGCCAATATAATTATTACTTGCCAAGTTGTACTAATAACCCCTTGACACATGCAGGAAGATGCCAAAATATTATTATATCCTGCCAAAGCCTGTAATTCTATTTTTTGTATGGGATCCCTACTTCTGTACCCCTTCTGTCATTATATAGTTGGGAAGGGAATCCTGCATTTTTGTCAATATCCGTTGATTCGGTTTTTGTTTTTCTTTCTTTGTTTTTCTCTTTTCACTTTGTTATTTATCTGTCTCTGTGTCTGTCTATCTGTCTGTCTATGCAAAATCACCACAACATCAAAAAAGAACAATCACAGTCTTCAGGTATTTTAGAGGGTTTTTTTCTTTAAAAAAATACTATAAAGTTATAAAAAGCAAAGAGACTTCAAATTGGATCCATGGACAGAGTTCTCAGACTGCTGGCTTCTGCAATACGCAGGCACTTGCTGTTAATGTGCTTTTGACTGTCAAGAGAAGAAAGAAGAGAGTGTCAGTGCAGAATATGGCAGTTCATGTCATACCAACCACAGAAAATGTATCTATTGTGGCTAGTGTGTAGCCATGCTCCTTTGAAATGACCAAAGGACATGCAGCTATATTAATTAATAACATTTCATGAAAGTGTAATGGATTTTGCATATGTTGTCAGACTACCATGTAAACAAGGATCTCTAGCTGAAAAAAAGTTGGATCAGGTTTCAAATAAACATGCTCCCCATTAAACCCTCTGCAGCAAGGGCATAAATTGGACTATAGTATAATAAGGAAATGCTTCCTTAATGCCCATAATTAGAGGTTCATAGTAATCCAAAGTGACACTAAAACCTCACATCATACTCTAGCAAGCAACCAGTTATTTCCACATAGATCCTCCATATGACTGCAAAAACATTTGAAAGATGGAATCACATGATACATTTTTCCTGGCCACTTGGTTAACCAAGGGGACTTAAACTGAACGGGAAGGAAATGTTGAACATACAGTATATGAAATTCTGAGTGTAGGGGGATATGTTTAACTAATACAAAACGGAGTGAGCCTGGGTAGCTGGGCAGATGTTTTTCTGACTTGTATATACTGAAC